GAAAATCTAATGTTATAAATCGCCCTTATTACAAAAGTATTAGATTATCAATAAGTTATGCATTTTTATGATCTATAATGAAACATCCATGAATCAGAATTCATCCCAGATTGGAATAGTATTCTATTTGTTTTGTATGCGATCGTATTAAGTTAGTGAAGTAAATTTACAATTTAATTCTTGTCTTTTCTTACTTTTCATATTCCATTAGAATCAATGATTTTTCTCCTATTGTAATGAACACTTGTATTAAAAATTCAATTGGTATTGTTGTTTACTTGATACTTCCCATTGATGTTTCAGACTACAATAGATCAGTCACTTATTGGAATATGTGCACACTGTGCGGACTGCCTCGTTCTTGCCACTAAGTCACAAGCATTATAAGTAAAGATAGATAGTGACTAATAGGAGGAAACGCTCGTCCTGGATTCCAGTGCTAACCACTATTCATCTTTGCTTATCATACTTGTAATTTAAGCTTATTATGATTTCGTCATAGTAGTCAAGTAGGATATTTAACTATTCAGCACAAATCAACAAAATATCTCCTACTTTTAATTTGTACAACTAGATAATGTGTAAGTAATTTCCGTCACCAGCTAACAACTTTGACAATTATTTTAGTCACAGTATCAGAATTTTCAACAGTACACATCAATAATCGTAGGCTGAGTTAAACCAAAAGACTTTACACCTCATAAGATGAATAATTCTTTCAAGGTATTGAATTAGAACTCAGCAACCTCGATTTCAACTTTCGTTAATTTTACTATTTACCATTGTGCTGTTTACTACTGATCTCGACAGATATAAGTAGTATATATCATCAATCGAAAATGAAATGTCTAGTGGCAAAAGGTTAATAAGATCGAGGAAAAGAGAACGAGAACAGAGAACGATTGATGTGAAAATGAAGGAACAATAAAGTCAATTGACTGACATTTAGCAATTGAAGTATTTACCGTATAGTTCTCAGATGTTCTGTAATTTTGTGTTCATTTACATTCAGTTGTTCCCATTTGTGTGTTATCATTCACTACATCCTGATGATCATCCAATATAATCAATGAATCAGTGTCTTATCTCCAAATTAACCAATCGGACAAATGTCAAAGTTAGTCACATGTCAGTATATCGTTATCATTATGTTATATAATACAGCTTACATTTATAGATATGTTTCATAAACTGGGAAATCCATAGAATCTATGAAACATTAAACAGATATCTTCTTGTAAGTTGATAAGCTTTAACAGGTCACAACTCTATCACTTTACAGAGATTTATTTACAATATTGATGTCACAGGCTTAAATGATCTCTTCACATGCTATTTTATTATTTTAATCAAAGAATATAATCATGAGTCAATTGAAGCTAGACCACCATGGAAAACCTGGAAGCACTGGACGGCCGTTTCTTCGTAGTATGGGAATACCTCAGCAGTGCGTATTTGCGATCCTATGCATATATTCATTCTGTTAACCTTACTATTAGTCGCTCAATTGATTCGATGATTCATTGATTCATTATGTATATATATGTACATTTTGATCGTGTTTGTTGACTCGTTCATTCAACTCCCGCGCTGACTCGCTTGCCTGATTGCTTTAAGGCTCTACTCTTTCATGCTTGTTTAATGTACCTGTAATTTTTGCTATCTGTGTATGATGTAAGAATAAACTTAGTCAAAACTTGGTATTCTTCTTCTGATGAATACACCGTTGGGTCATTATCTAGTGACGGTTATCAGGATGAACTATATACGAAGTTTAAAGATTCTATTGAATACCGACCATCCCAACGATTTATTCATGCATCAATCAATGAACTAAAATCAATTTTTTTTAAAAAATAATCAAAATGATATGAAAAAGTATAATGATACCAATGTGTTGCTATCCATACCATTTCAATGCATTAAACTATCAATAGTTGGCAATAATAAATGTACATCATTTACAAAATCGACAATTAACTCATTTAAATAATAAAGATATTATTATATTATTGATTTATAATTTTTGCTTGTTCCCTACTTATTTACTTACGTCGATTACCCCTTTTAGATGAGAATAGACCCCTCAACAGCACTCTCTATACAACTGTGTCCTGGACAATCCTTTTCAGTTGCTATTCATTCTTTTCATGTTTACTTCTAATTCCCAACGTAATGTGTTCTTTGGTCGTCCTCTTTTCTGCTTTCTTTCAGGATTTCAACATAACGCTTGCCTTGTGATACAGTTTGATGATTTCCGTAATTCATGTTCTATCCACTTCCAACATTTTTTCCTTAATTTACTCCTCAGCTGGAATTTGGTTGTTCTCTCCCACATTAGGTTGTTGCTCGTTGTATCCAGTCAACGAACATTCAATATCTTGCGTAGACAGTTGTTCATAGACAGTCGTAATATTTTGATGATGGTTATCGTAGTCCTCTCCATTTGAGCTCAGTACAGTAAAACTGTCCTGACGTTCGTATTGAAGATGGTGACTTTGATGTTGGCTTGCAGACAGTTGTTTAAGGTTCCATATGTTTTTTTTATTTTAACACATAGATAGTGGTACAAGGAGACACCAAATACATATGCGTCACACAAATCTCATTTGATATGTGTGGGGGCTGTGATACTGCCTGGGTTCCCAAACAGAAGCAGATGGTGTTCTTAACGGGCCACACCCGGAGCCTTCGACCTGAAGGTCTGATCCATAAGGCAGTGGAGCATCGTAAGTAGATGCAGTCCTATGGTAGCCGGTGACCAACAATAGGTTCATACATCATTTGTCCCTTCACCATCCTGGAGCTCATGTGCACCACTGGTTTGGAATCAGGGTTTTACAACTCCCCTAGATGCAGTCTCCATGTCCGTCAACCCGATTAAAGCGTCAGACATTCTCCTTTCGTCCTCTCAATTTCGTAAACAACACCCCCTTCGCGAGAAGGCAATGAGTAGCACTTCTCTGGAAGAGGCTATATACACTTTATTCAATATAGAATTCTTAGTACAAAGTATTTTAATGAGTTTTATATTCCTTACTTCTTTATCGATCTTGACGATAACATATTGATTGATCGTCAGTTAGAGGTTAGTAGATTAGTCAGTCAACATCTAAATCATGTAGATTCTTTTTGTTGCAGATTTCTAGCAACTATGATATGTCTGATTGAGATCTTTTTTTAACTTGTACAACGAAAGGTTAGCGATGCTAGATCCTTAGAATTCACTTAGTAACTTAAACGCTATTGGTCGGTTGTATCTTTTAGTATGTTATTTTGTAATATATATATATATATATATATATATATATATATATATGCGTTTGAATTGTGCTCATTGTTGCTGTTCATGCTTCTGGCTACCTGTGTAATATATTTCCCTCTTCCGAATTTGAACTTCTCTCTCTAGTCAGCGAGGCTGTGACGCGTCGGAATAGCTAGATTTTAGTCTTTGGTCACAGAATCTTCGTTCCATTCTTAGATTAGGTGAACTCGTAATCTCTTTAAACATATCAGAAACGCACCTGAATAGGTTATGCGATTAATAGCCAATAATGATGTATTAACACAAACAAAATTAGATAACTTGTTGAAATATCTATCTAACAGGGTAAGGTAGCCCAGATGTTCAATCAGGCCGCCAATATTATTATTTACGCATTTATATTTCAATTCTTCCTCTTGTGATATTCATATCTACATAATTCCATGTCAAAATTATGACCGTAGGACTTTTTCATTATTTTATTTGAATGTGAAATTGTAAACAAAAGTGTTGTACCTACATGATAATTGAATCGTTTGAGACATACCAGAGATTTTTGAAAATAAGCTAAGCACTAGCTATTTAAAAAACTCTTCTGTGAACAATTCAAAATTGGTAGTGTTTTAGAAAGCAGAGTGAAGAAAGAAACTAAACGGGAAATGAAAAAGATCTGTAATAACATGTGGAGAAACGAACCTATAAAATTGAGATCATTAACCGATCGATGCTAAACTACCAATGAAAACCTGTAAGCACTGGACGGCCGTTTCGCCCTATTATCGGACTACTCAGCAGTCAACATCCATGATCACACTCGAGGGCTCTGAACCCAGGACCTACAGTCTAGCGCGAAAGCGCCTAGCCTACTGGACAACTGAGCCGGCACCTATGGTTTAATGTCTAATCGCAACCAATCCACCACCAATCGATTCATGATCTCAATTAGAAACTTAATAGTCTCCACAAACCCAATACTGAACCTAGAAAATATGAATTTTAACACTGCGAAGGAGTCTCACACTAGGACAAAACAGCCATCCAGTGCTTATAGGTTTCCATGGTGGTCTAGCTTCAACTGACCCATGAATCCAACTATTAAATTACTACAGTCTCCACAAAACCCCCTCTCTGATTTTAGCAAATGCGATAAAAAGTCGTTAAAATTTGTAGATATGATTAAACTACTTATTATAGCCCAGTAGTACGTTTAAATATACATTAAAAACGATGGTAGAATTGACAGATAATTCCCATTTAAACATTAAAATTAAAACACGAATTTCAGCGAAGGGATCTCTTTTCAACGAATTTATTATCAAGCTGTACAATCGTATATATATGAAAATTTTGTTTTTGTAAAAGTACTAATTCCGTGAGGAAATGTGAATATAGTTAATATAAAGGTTATAATACTAGATTACGTAATATGAATAATAACAATAACAATGGATTTGGTGAATATAATAAGATGATTAAAGTGTTTTTGATATAATAATTAAAGGTCATAGAGGTGTACAAAAATAAACTGATATGATGAGCGTTCATGCATAAAACAATGAGAATATAAGACATAAGTAAAGGGGAATGCAGTAATAATAATAATAATAATAATAATAATAACATTAATGGTAGGATAATCAAACTAATTAAGGCCAAGGTAACGATAACGATAAGACGTACTTCTTTTGTACGCATAGTTCTGGTTTAAGCTCCTGGATGGCAAGAGCTTCGGCTA